GATTTTGGTTCCCAAAAATTATTAAGTTATGATAGAAGGCTTAGTTTAATAGATATGGTCATGATATATATAAGTCGCTTTGTGCTATCATCATAGAATTTCTCTAGCTTCAAGTCCAAGGCTTATCCTAAAAGTATCTATTGTAGTTTTTTTTTGTTTTGTAATGCAAGTTATCATATAATTCTATAAATGGAAGTTAGATGAATTAGTTAGCTTGACTTCTTTTAAGACTAGGTTATCTCTTGATATGGTGGTAGTTAACTTTGAAAGAATACATAGAGTATTTAAGAAAAAAAGAATTATTTCTAACAAATTCTAATAAGTTGATGTAAGAGTTTTGTAAGTAGTGATGTTATAGGTCTCTACACTATGTATACAAAGGAAGTATTCTAAGAAATTTGAATTTTGCAATGTTGCTTTGATACCATATTTGAAAAACATAGACATCAATATAATATCCAAGAAGCATTGACATCCATACATACATATATATATTAATTCAAACAAAAAAGAATTTATTGGTAGGACACTTGAAAATATATACTACAGCTAGAGAGTATGGGTGAGGTATCAAAGACAATATCCATCAAGGTGGACTAACTATCATTAACACCATCTCAGGTGACATTGTGGCCTTCATCACCAAGCGATTCCACGATAAGAGCCTTGAAGTAAAGAATTTAACATATCCTTTCACCAATTTTCTACAAAACCAAATGTAAGTCCTTAACTCTACAGCTTGCACAACACAAAATTAATATTACCTCTCAAAAGCAAAGCACCAAAATTTTCACATTCAAATGAAACTCCTCTGCAGGTGGCTTTTTGCTTTCTGCTCTGCAGCTATTCAAGGTTGAGAGTGTAACAATCGACAACTTGGTGGACCTAACAAGCGTCAAAACTTGCGTGTCAGAGTGGTTGCATAGAACACTAAAAGGACCATGTGAAATCCTTGCAGCTGCAAATGAGAACCTGAAAGACGAGAAAGTGCAATGCACCAACCAACTCCGGCATGGCCCAAAAGTATCAAAAGTTTTGGATACACCCCAGAACTTGCTATTTCACCTCGGTGAGAACTGGTTTCACAAGGTTTGTTGCAAAAAACTGAGATATTGAAGGTCACGTTCCCTGCACCCAATTGCATGAGATGCTTATCAATTCACCAAAGTAAATAAGAAGCGTAGAATGGTTGAAGATACTGAATTCTGGCTTCACAGATTCCTGCTTCAAGAGTAATGTTCATTTAAATTTTTAGAAAGTGATCCGTTTTCAGCAACAAGGAATTTAGATTGCTTGGTTTTGTTGATCATGGTAGTCCGGATTTGCTTGGTTTGCTGAAATCCAAACACAAACTTTCTGAGTGCTACAATGATTATAATAATAATAATCGATATCTTTCAAATTAAACCATAAAATATAGATGGAGAAAACTGTGCTCATTATAAGAAAAGAAACTACTGCAAGTGGTCTCCTCAAAAACTTATTTCATGTATATTCATCTTTAATTAATTAATATGTATGTATATATATATATATATATATATATATATTTTGAGGGTAATGGAAAAGTAGGCAACTTCTTTTTTGCATCATATTTCAAGATGAATTTGTATCATGTGTTTAAGGCAAGAAATTGGCTTCGTTGTTGAAACCAAGCCTCAAAATTTCAATAAGAAATTTAACACTTTAACCCTGCCAATGTATGCAATTTTTTTTAAGTAAGCAAAGAAACAAAAAGAAATTTTGTTGGCAACATTCATTTATGTGATTAATAGAATTTTATTCACCTGCATATATTAATGTCTATTTATAGAATATTTCGTGGATACACATAAAACTCCAAAATTTATGTAAAATTTTACTTTTTATGGTATTTGTTCTTACAATATGGTTCTAGAATATATTATTACAAATATGATATATATAAAAAAATCAATAAAAAATTAATTATTTTCTATTTAAAACATCATTAATTAAATATCCTTTAAATTGATATCAATAATTAAACAATTAGTATGTTATCTAAATATTTAGTTATTAAAAATTTTCTTATATAATAAATTCTTCAAAATATCAATTATTAGCATTCTAAGCATTAAATGTATTATGTTATTTATTTTTTAAATCACAATCATTTAATAGAATTTTTAATATTTTAGTAAAAAGTACTTATAAGTTATTGAAAATAGAGAAATAGTAAGAAATTTAAATTTAAGTCTTATTACATACATTATTTTATTTTATTATAATTATAAATATGGTTACAAAAGCTTTTCTAAATTCCTTTATATCTTATGAAATTTATAAAAATGATCATTAATAATATAAATAAGAATATATATATATATATATATATAGTATTTATATTATTAATTAATCTCCTAAAAACTAATAACTTCCAATATTTAACCTAAATTTTAAAAATTAACTTTGTTCTATGGTGTATAGTTAATAAATTTTAATTTCTAATAATTAATTGATTTTTATAATAATAATTTTAAGAAGTAATTTATAAAGTTTTTGTGGCTGGTAAGCCGCCATGGCCGCCATGGCCGCCATGATAGAAGCAATTTGGAGATTATTTATGGCCCAAGCAAGAATAATTTCCATCTTGCTTTTAATGCATCATCTTTGATGATTAATAAACGTTTATAATTAAAAAAAAAATTACAACCAATAATATTAATTAACAAAAAAATGTGTATATATATATATATATATATATATATATAAATACTAGTTGGAATTTGTGCCATTAGGCACTACAATCTCACACATTCATCTTTTCTTTTCTTCGTCCACACTTCCTTATTACCATATTTTCTAGTTATGTAGTCCCTATTTCTTTGGTTCTCTAGTTTTCATATTCCCACATTCCTTTGTTCCCATGTTCCTAAGATTCCATGTTCTCCAAGTTCCCCACATTCCTTTCTTCACAACCATTCAAAAGGCTTCTTTGTGTTATATCCAAGTTGTCTAATATGATAGATATGTTTTTTTGTTTTGTTTTTTTTTTTTTTGTTTTCTCTTTTTTCTCTTTTTTCTAAGATAATGATGCCAATGTAATTATAAAAAAAGGACATAAGATAATATTATTTTTTTGTATAAAGATACACGTTTTATTTTATTCTGTAAATCATTTAAACTTATAAATCTTTAAATATATTTTTTTAACTATGGAAATATTTAAAAGACTTGCTATGATTTTTTTTTTAATTTACTTCTTCTTTTAGATAATTAAAATTTCTTCCAACTATTTTATTAAATGCATATTTATTTATTTCTTATTTATAATTTAAAAAAACATGTAATAACTAATCCATTACGGCTATAATTTTTAAGTTGCAAAAATATGATTTAAATTATATTGAATCTTGTTTCTAATTACAAATCTTGGTTTTCTAATTTTCATAATTTAAATTTTTCAAAAAATAATAATATCAATTTGATAGAATATAATCTACAATTTCTTAGACATTATGAAAATTTCAAGAAATAGATTAATCAACTTCTTTAATTCAAAGAATAAGTTCTTCTATAATAAAGACAAACTTATAAAAATGATAATTATGTAGAATCTTACAAAAAAAATGCACAACTATTAACAATTAGAACTTGATTAATAAAAGAAATAATACAGAAACTGAGAACCACAAAATATTATAGATGAATTTTAAAGTTGTGTTGGCAAAAGTATGATATAGCTTAATTTTCTATCTTATTTATATTTCACTACCTTAGTCAAATGAAATCTTTTATAAAATAAAATAAAATAAAAAATAGAGTTGTTGTAAAGTATTATAGTAAAAATAAAAAGAACTTTAATAAACCGAAAATGGTAAAAACTTTTATAGCTTAAAAGTAAAAATTTACAAAACATGAACTTTGTTTTTTTTTTTAAAAAAAAAAAAAACCAATGAATAATGCAAAAATAATTTGTATACATAAATTTCTTTAAAAATATAAGTTGATAGTAATAAAGACATTTAGCAAATATTTATTTAAAACTTTAGATTGGAATTTTTAAGACAAGTTGTACTTTACAGCACTTAATTCTTGAATTTCTTTATTCATTTAACCATGCATTGATACATGCATAAATGTGTGTGTTATTAGAATTTTTTTCATTATTTATAATCAGAATAGAAAATGCAGTATTAATATTAATAATACAGAAAGGAATTTTCAGTACTGTACGAATATACATTTGGAAATTACAAAATAAAAACGTGTGAGGTATACAAAACGTAGAATTTTAAACTAACGTCTGTATGATTATTGAATATTAACTTTGGTCATTGATTTATTCAGATAAATACTGCGTGTTTGCAGGAGCTAATACTTTCATATACATTATAGAGATTTTAGGTACACTCTCCATAGCGCTTATGGTCATGAGTTTAGAGTCTCAATTCAAACAAGTTCCCATTCATGAAGCAATTCTCTTTGTTCTTATTCCACCAATACTGCTTGTTACAGTTGTATTTATTACAAGACCTTCCACCACAATGGCAATACACCACAGACAATTTAGCCCAAGACTTCGTTTGCTGCAACAACGCTAGTTTCAAAAATAATGCAGGCAATGCAACAAACCAGCGATGAAGCTTTGTACAGTGATCGCAGATATGGTGAATATGGAAGTAAACAGCGAGAGTGTCGCACAGCAATGTAAACAGCTTCACATCAAAATTTAATGAGCTCATAATGTGATAGCAATTTTCCCCATTTGCCCACAAGCTTTAGACCAATTTTGAAGCTTTGCAGAAGAACACAGATAGTGGTAAGCGACTCCTATAGCTTCTCACTCTCTAGACAATCTTCGTTGCTTATTGGAAATACTCTTCAATGGAGAAATCTGACAGGAAAAAATTGGAAGACAAATTTACTCCATTTCATATAAGGGATGCCTCACCAAGGATTGCAAGCACATGATCCTCAAAGGATAAGTAGTTTCACTTACAGCGGCACTGTTTCCAGACTCAAAGAAATGCAACATAGAAACATCCACTAGTGGTGAAATACCTTTAATTCATGCATATCATGGAAGTGGGCACCGGGAAATGGCGGCAAACTGGATCACCCCAAACTGCGATTTTCAAGAGATTTGCACGGCATTCTTCTAATAGGGTGGAGGCACAAAATCACTACGGTAAGGCAAGCTTGAACTAGAACAAGTTCAAGCTTTGAAAGGAGATGTATTGAACCATCACCACAAACAGGGGTTTGCTTGACTTTCCTTGGCAGATAGTTAAACAGGAAAATGCTCAAAACGGGGGAAAGAAAAAAAAACGTGTGTGTCCCGTTAGATTCTCTGCATTGATTGGAAGCACAACTACTGAGTAGATTGCTGGGGAACGAATTGTTCCAATGCAGCAAATCGTAAGACTCTTGATTCTGAAGCTCCTACATGGCTCAAAACAATTTAACACTCGGGATAGACTCCCGAGTGCAAGGTCACGTTTGATCGCGCGGCACTGACCTGTGGTTACTCCGGAAGAATCGGGAAGATTCGGGATCAGCATTGGAGATTTTATGTGAAACTCAGCGACTAATCTCGTAGGGAATGAATTGCCGTGGCATTCTTCTTGCAGTGTCTTCAAACAGGACCTTGACAGGAATTCATGTCGGCATTCCACAGCCATTGCACCAAAAATTTCCGGCCTCGCACGCCATGAACATTGTAGCTCGCGCCGAATTTGGACACAGGTACATCGCCAGGGTACCCACCTCCCGCACCATGTCCATACATCCCCTCGCAGAGATCTGCAATCTCGAACGGAGCAGACGGATCCTCACCTGCGTACCATGCATTGATCAGCGGGTTGCTGGAGATCTCTGCGAGCTCGTGGCCAATAACGCTCACCATGCCATCGACGCCGATATCGTTGTTAGGGCTCTTCAGTGGAGCGAACGATTCGCCCATGAACTCGGGGATGGCAAACGGGAAAGCACACACCTCCGGACATGACTTGCCAGAATTCCCAATCCACGCGTAAGGGAGCGTGTAGCCGACCTTCGCAGGGAATGTGAAGTAGTGAAATCCACACACAGCTCGACAATAATCTTGCATCATCACATCTTCCCCCGTGAGGACCATGTAAAGCCCGCCCTTCGTATTCACTGGGAGTGTTCCGTTGTTTTCTGCGAGTGCACTGCGGATGACCTCTTGCACGCTTAGACGCGAAAGGACCTTCCCGTGAGAGTAATTGCGGTCTTCGTGCTCGCCGGCTACCATGATCGATGCGCTAATGTTGGCACCCGTTTGATCGGTGTAGGTTTGCACTGTGGACCACCATTGCTGCACCGATGGTCCGGTAACTGGCGCGGGCGCGGAGACGGAGGCCAGGAAGTCGCGGATTATACTCTTTTGAGAGTTTTTCCACCTGCCATACCAAATGATGTAGACGTGAATCGCTGAGGTGAGTACAGGGCCCATGTGGTACTGCATGTTGACAACTGGATCCTTCACGAGCACTTTTGATTCAGCGATATTGACAGCGTTTGGCCATGGCCTAAATGGGCGGTAAACGGTCGAGGGACTTGAGCTGGCGGCAGAGGCGCTCTTGTCATTTCCTGAAGAGGCTACTCGGGACAGTACACAGACCGACATCGATGCAAAGAGGATTGCGGATATCCAGAATCGGTGATTGCCATAGCTCGCCATGGGGTCCAGATGACCAACCAGATTACCTTGCCAATTTCTTTCAAATACTTTACAAGTCGCAATGCCAAAGTATGCTTCAAGTATTCCTCCAATTTGAACGGCTCCTGCACCGGAGAGGTTGAGCCAATTATCTCACAGAATTACCTGTACCCGTCTGTCAAGACCAAACGGAAGAATTCGTTAGAATGCAGTATCTGTGAAGGGATCGTTCGCACCTCCAGCTACCGAATATCAATTTGTTTTCAAGGATTCCGTGTATCTGCCCCAACGACAGAAGTGTTGGAAAGAACTCGAAGAATTTTGACACCAGCATATACCTGTCAGTGCAACTTAAACTATCTCTGACACAAGCTCCATGACCACATTGTGAAAACCGCAAACAGACCACGGAAAATCGCGGAGACACGCACATACCTTGTGCATCAGGGGAAACCAATGCAGCAGCAGCTCCTCAACTGAGTAAACAATGCCGAAAACCAAATTCTGGCACAATGCTACCCAACCTGTAGCCTTCAAGACTGGAGATCTGAAAGAAAGCCGATAGTCCACTATTGCAAGGAGCCTCAGATTTGACCGAGGACCAGCTAGCTCCTCTCTGCATAAGGAAACCAATTCGACAGATCCCAAGGTGAGTGAGCACCGTCTAAAGCATCATCTCTTTATACTCCCTCACCCCATCGTCACAAGTCCGCATCCGACCCTAACTGATTAACTCCGAAACAATTCATCACTACCACGGTCCACACTCCACACATTCCAACCCTCCCCAATCAAGACAAGAACCAAAGAAGGGATCCGAGTCCTTACACAAATGACCGTCAAATCAATCCCCTCTAACCTCAAAAGGCATGGATAACTGCATCTTATACAACATTCATGGCAGCAGCAGCAGGAGGAGGAGGAGACGGAGGAGAAGGAAGAAGAAGAGAAGACACTCGACTAATTCTTGGGAAACAAACTCCAGATGTGTGTCACGGTCGTTGCAACTCACCGTCACAAGCAACCCCAACGCGGACACTTCCTCTCTGACCTACCCTCTCGAAGAGGCACTGAGCGACTCTTAATTGCCGTTCCCACAAACTGGGTTTGCACATAAAGAAACTTTGATTGCCAGCACTTGCAGTTTGCACCCAGAGCAGTGGCAGACCCGTGCGATTGAGCTGGAATAAACCACGACCTGCGCTTGCTACAACTTGAATGATGGAAACTGGCGATGGAGAGCTACAGCTGAGCTCTGGAGCTGCGCTGCGGCAGACAGCATTCAGGCATTCCAGTCAGAAGGATACTGATGATGGAAATTCGGCTTGCTTGTCATGGAGAAGCCGAAGCTTACCCCGAAAACAGAAAACAAACAAACAAACAAAAAAAAAAAAAAAAAAAAAAAAAGGACACACAACCGAGGTAGGTCTTCAACCTTCTGCTACTCCCTCCTTCAGGAGGAAGAAGAGTGACTGAGTGTGCCCTTGCAAGCATTCAGGCCCAGCAGCTTTAGCTTTGCCCACAATGCAGTCAGTGCTTGGGAGATGGTCTTGATATAGTTCTGAAAAAATCTTATACTCTCTAATTGATGTTATTGTTGCTGCTTCTGCTGCTGTTGTTGTGTTTCTTTTTCTTTCCCTCTCTTCCTTTCTTTTGCCACTCTTAGTCTTGAGGTGAGAGAAGCCATCATTCCAACAGACTCCAGCATGAGAGGGCCAATAGCTAGCTATGCATGTATGTGGAGATTGGAATCAGCCCATATTCCTCCATCCCACAACTTGCAAACTCTTACTTCAATACCCCCCCCCCTTCCCCCATCTTGCTTTCAAACAATGATACTAAAATGATGCTAGTTTTTAAACCTATATATTTATATTCGTGCATGCATGTAAAGCCTGTGGACTTGATAATGGCTGGGGATTGAGGTGGGTTGCAGTGAAACCAAGCATTGTCAAGCTCTTCATGAAGTTTAGTGATCAGAAAGAAAATAGAAAATTTGGAGAGCAGTGGTGGTGGTGGTGGTACTGTTACTATCAGGATCTGCAGAAAAACCTCAGCAAAGAAAATCAGTGTGGACAATCCTGCATGGTTTCCTGCACAATCAAGCAGTAGAGCCTTCATCACAGCCCCCCATAGTGGATGGATGATGAACTGCTCTTCTCCACCTCCTCTGTAACATGTAGCAAACATACTCTTTCCAAGCAGACTTTTTAACACTCCATTTTCACATGATATTGCAAATAAATTATACTGAGAATGTGGCTTTAACAACAACAGAATGTTACATGAACAAGAGTCTTACCATGCAATTCTTCTATATTATATGTTTCACAGTGAAGCTATTAATAATGTTTGTTCATGTCAGAAAGGTTATCACAGATTAGAAAAAGACAGTGGGAAAGAATGCAAAATTTGCATGCACAAGGAAGAATGTGGGTGATTAGTTTTCTAATACGTTCATAAGGTTTAATGTCAGTCCAAATTACATGATTTTGAGTTCTTTTAACATCCATTTTTCATTTCCTCTTTCGGGTGAGAACAAGCTATCAAGCACTTCATGGGGCTTTTTTCTCAGAATTTTTTATAAGAGTCACTGAAAATATTCTTTCCAAAGCCTCAAACTAATTGGCAATGTGGCAATTGTGGTGGAACAGGGTTCCAGGTCACACCACAGTACTCTGTTGATTGCAGGCCAGCACAGGGTAGAGAATCAGGCTTTACAAGAAAGCCTCCATTGGGAGCAATTTCCAGATATGGAAAAGCCTTAGTTTCTTTCCCACCAGGAAGAGACCCACATGGAGCAGGCTCCATAGATGAGAGCATTCTCGTCATCCTTGTCCTCATTCATCTCACTGGGTTACCCAGCATGGAGCAACACAACCCAGCTGGAGCTCATAGGGCATGGATAACACCAAAACCAAAGGTTGGCCACCAAGCTGGCAGAAGCAAGCAAGGAAGGGAAGGGATGAGGATAAAGGGAAGGAAAGGAAAAAGGGGGGGGGGGGGGGGGAGATTGAGGGTACTTACAGGGGCAGGTAGCGTGAAATAATAATGTGCACTCCAGTTACCCATTTCTACAGTGGGTAACTGTGGGTCTGCCTGCCTGCCTGTATCTGTCTGTCTGTCTGTCTCACCATGGCCTTGAAGAGTAGTAGTTGGGGGCTGAGGGGTCAGGGCATCTCCCAGCCTTTGGAGGAGATATGAAACTTCCCCAATCCAGGCTCATTGCTCACTGCCCTCGTCTGTCTCCCACCATTCATACCATCTCTAACTCAACCCTGCCTCCAACATTTTTTAATCTTTCTCTAGCTCTCTCTCTCTCTCTCTCTCTGTGTTTCTCACTTCGCCTTGGGAGTAGCTCCCGGAGGCACTGGCACCCAAGTCCCTTCTGCTTCTTCTTCTTCTTCATCGCCACACACACACACACACAGAGATAGGGGGTTTGAGCCATTACTCCCTGGCCTTGGTAACTGGAAAGTATGTTGGATCCTGGCTGTCATTGTCTGGAGGGAGGTCCGCATTTCAAAGAACTAGTTGGGCATGTATGTTTTATTTTTCGTTTTAATTTTTTAATTTTTTTCTAATGGATTCAAGGGGCTGTTTGAAAAGGTTGGATCCCAGAGCATGGGATCCCCTTTGTTTTGTTGAGCGGCCAGTGAAAGAGTTTGAACCACTTTGAAAAGCATGCTGAGGAAGAGTCATATTCAATCATTCATTCATACATTGACTTTTATATATATATATATATATATATGAATATTCTTTTTTTCTTATGGGGTTTGTGTAGCTGGCTCAGAGCTGGCATTCTAGCAGGGCCTTGAGTGGCTTTACCAGGGCTAAGATAGTACTGCGTCCTACCTCTCTCACTCACTCTCTCTCTCTCTCTCTCTCTCTCCCCAAGACAGGGACTCTGCTCAACAGTAAAGAAACTCATGAATTCAAAATTGTCCTGATGCAGCTGCTGCCATGGCTGTGTGCTCCACCTCACCCCCACAAGTCAGTTCCGTCTGCTGGACCAACTTTTACTTTTCCAATGAGCCAGCTGTGGGATCCTGGTTCCCAAGATTCAAATTTTTGGTTTAGGTTGAAAACCATGTGAGACTTGCCTAACATTAATCACATGGCACAGACTTATTAAACTTTTTTGGGGGGCTTGATGCATTTGTGACAAAAAAGAAAACTAAAAGAGGGCTTGGCATTCTCAAAATACAGAGACCTCAGTAAAAGAGTATCTACCATAAAGTTGTGTTCATTTTTGTGTGAACGAAGGTTGAGAACCATTGAATTTAAATAAAAAAAAAAACATGTATAGAGAATTGGTAATGCTATATCTGGAAGTGATATTGCTACACCCCACAAGACCATCTCATAGCCAACTAGCTAATAATGTGCCTCTTTCTTTTCTGTATTTTTTCCATACTTTGCTTTAAGAAATGGTGGTGGTTAAGAGGGAGACAATGAATATTTTATGAAATAACAAGTCACAAGCTGTTTGTTTTTTGTTTGTTTTTATTTAAAAACTATTTAATTCAAAATTTTACATTTTTTTATTAACATACCAAAAACACACACACACACACATATATATATATATATATATATATAATCTATGTTTGGGTCAATATTGGGATTAAATATTTGGCTGCCATAGAAGTGCACTTTTTAATCAACTTAAGTTATGTGGAAGTCATGTAAGGTGTAACAATGTCAATTGGGGATGTAGCATTAACAACTCTCTACACATACAAATATTTATATATGTATATTGCAGATAAACAAAATATTGTGTGGAATGGCATCTTTTTCATGATATGATTTGAGACATAATTTATTACTTGAAGTGTGTGCCATATATTATTGTTAAGCAAATTATTTCAATTGATGATAATATGATCTCATGCATATTATAATCAGTCTTAAAATGGTAATAAAAAAATGGTTGTTTGATTAGTGATGACGGCCTTTGCAATGTTCCATGTGACCAATGAATGACACTAATTGTAATTCATTCAGTAGAGTAAAACTATCTTCATTTCATTTTTAAAAAATTATCATTTTAACATGATGACTTTAAAGATGTAGCAATAGAAAATTGGCAATTGATTCTTGTTTTTAATCATGTTTGAAAATGTCAGTTATATTTTAATACTTTTCACCAATGTCCAAACATAACCATGACCTTAATATATTTTTGCAATGTCAAATGTTTTGGTGTATTTGATTCAAATAGTGCTCTATACTACAAATTATTTAACCTTACACACATAAAATTATATACATATATATATATATATATATATGTATCACAGTGATAATAATAAAAGTACATACATTTCATCACACATACTTATATGAGTGATCAAAATTAAAGTATGTGTTCTGATGGTCAGAAAATATAATAAGATCACAACAATAAGATACCCTTTGACCTGAAAAAAACAACAAAGGTAATAGATACACATTTTAAATTTCCATTTAATTAAGCAATATAAGCAATAAATTATTAGCATATGCTGATTGTAACTTTCAAAACCAGATGTGAATTGAGACTTCATTTCATTTCATTTTGGGTTTTTGCTATTGTTCTTGAATATAGATTCATTCCACAAAAAATCATACAAAGAAAATTTGACAACCTCAACAATGATATTCAAAATAAACAAAGTATATATATATATATATATATATATTTATTCTACTGTATTATGGTTTTACAACATGTTATCCAATAACTTTTGACCAGAATTTTCTAAGAGAGTAAAAGAAAAAATTGCTCATGTAGACTAATAGTATGTTAGCCACAAACCCATGTGGAACAACCCACATTATCACCAAATCAGTACTTTCAACCTGATTTTGTTCACAATGCATGCATGCTGTTAGGGCATAGGTACATGAAGCAGTGAATGAGCCTCTGTCTGAAGTATAAATAGATAGTTGGTGACAACCACTGCAAACCGTACAAACACAGTATTTTTGTTTGATTGTATTACTAACAAACCCAAAGCATAAGTTCATGTTTACCATGCTTATGATAACCAACATGGTGTAAGATCCTAGAGCTTCACACCAAATTTCAATTTTGGAAAAATGTGTGTTATTTTGTCCACTTGCAAATGCGAGGATTCTCACCTTTGACATGCTCTTGTGAGTAAAGGAGTGCAACATCACATCATTTGGAGTATTGAACCTTTAGCTGCAATGGTGCACAGAGGGCCTCAGGCAGGGTGTGACAGTTTCAGTGAAAGGGGAAGAAGAAGAGGTGGTGTTTTGTAGCCAAGTGCTTTGAACTAGCCCTCATACAAATCCAAAGGAGGCTGATGAGGGTCCTAGTCCCACAGCATTCTACATCATAGTCCTTCTCCCATAACATGGTCCTACTGTGAAGCTTGCCAATTTTATCCATCCAGCTCCTAGAAGGGATGAATGTGTTACCCTCATCATGGCCAACACCATTACCTCATCCATCCACTTCCAATTTGAGGCATTGGCTCATCAAAAAGAAAAAGAGAAAAAGAAAAAGAAAAAGAGTAGCCCCCCCCCCTCCATGCACCCAGTTTGATCTCATCTCATTACATTGTTATTATGAATTGTTTGACATGTCCCTTAGGACCAGATTCATATTGTAGATCTAGATATAAGTGTTTCATGTCATCACTTTTCTTCATTGCTGGAGCCTTCAGAATTAGGGTATTCATTTGTGTTGGGGAGTTGTATGGCACTGTGAGGCAGCATCATCATTTAGTTCAAAACTATGCATTTGTGATGGATGGCATCTAATGATTTGTAGAGCCCCTTGTGTTGTATCTCAAAGCATGTGATTCTCGCATGGTAATAACTCAGAAGGATTTTATTTTTGTGTTTCATTTTGTGTGTATTTTTTTCCCTCTACAAGAACAGTCTTCCTTGATCCTCCCTCAACATAATTTGAAGTTCACAACAGTCTTTTAAAGAAATCCAGCTAGATATATTGATTGGTACATGTACCATTGTTAGTAGCTTGTCCATTATCCTGCTCCATCCTGTCAAAATCAGTCTATACCATCCCAAAAACAGAGAAAAGAGAAAAGTGGAAAGAGGAAAGAAAAGAAAACCCTGCTGCAAAATAGAAGGCTTGACTTCATTGATTTTACAGCATTTGACAATCCAGTCACAAGCTTAGTAATTTTGTCACTGCACGTTGTCCCAAATGCTCTTCATTATTCTCGTTTTTTAAGAATGAAATTCAGGGTAAGATGTCCATGGGGGGGAGGGCTGGGGGGTTATTGTTTGATCAGCTGAGCCTAAGACAAAACAAGTATTAAATGGAATGGAGAGGAGTCAAAGTGGGGGAAGACAAGGGACAAGAGCTGCTGACAACTTGTATGGACTATTACAAGTAGTCCTGTGGTAGAGGTATTGCCATCAACATCCTTCAACTTCTGACTGAATTGACATGCAGGAGGACACTCAAAACATCTCTCCCTCTCTAATCTCTCCCTCTCTTGCTCTCTCTCTCTCTCTCTCTCTCTTACACACAGCCATGTTCCTCAGGACAGACTCTGAGTTTTCCGAAAAGAGTTAAGAAGTAGAAGAAGAAGAAGAAAAACAAGAAGATGCCAAAACATTCTAACAATTAAGAAGAAATGACCACATTCCACCACTTTGGACTTGTGCAGAAGGTGGTAGCAGAACTTCCCACTGCTCTGCTCCTTAGTTTCAAGTTACTTCCTAATACTTATTGCTGGTTTCGAAGGTATTCCCACAATTGATTGCAAAAACAATAACAAAAGAATCCAGCGCAGTTATTTCAAACTTGATAAACCTTCAATGAAGTGTCGTCATCATTCGAGCTCTGAGTTCACATTGCAGATTCAGCGGAGCCAGCAACGTAGCAATCATCAGCACTTTCGAATTCATCCAGTTGTCCAGCTAGCTCCAGGTCAGATTGGAAAACTCGACCCAATCAAACCCGTTGCTGTCTCTCAAATCACCCATATGAACATAGTAACTTCCTACCATGTCAAACCTGTGACCCAACACACTCTCCCCGATGCGCCAAGCTCAGCTGTACAGACCATGTCCTCCTCACACATGCACCGCACCATAATCGATTCGAAACCAAAGGATTCGCTGCTGTTAAATCCAGTTAGTTTCATCCCCATCGCCACCTTCACCAATGGATATCCGCGGCAGAAACGGCAACGCTAATCATGGAGAAATGTCCTGCGCAAAATATGTTTATCAATAAGTCCATTCAGGTTATCGCCTATGGAAGAAAGGTGCAGAATTGCACAGCATCCCGCCCTGCTTGCTAGCAGTGTGTGCAGTACTACACCTTTATTTCCTCAAAAACCACAAGATTTGGTATCGATTAGTCCAATGAAGCAATCACCATCACCATCATCAATTGCCTCCGCACACTTGGATAACGCCCACTCAAATCATCTCATTTAGATTCCTTTCTCGTAAATTTAGCTAGCTAATCAATCCTGACAGCAGGAACTCGGGACTTGATTACTCAAAACGACCACCTTAATTACGTTAATCACCGGTTTGTTTCTCAAACACATCTTGTTTCCCACGAAAGCAAGGTGCAGACCCCTGGTCTACTTTATATTCTGTACACCTAAATCCTCTCGAAATCACAACATACAGTACTAATGAACTCACTGAATCAACTACCTTCACAGTCGTCCTCACAGCAGTAACGCCAACTGCTACCACTCCATACGTCCTCCCAAATCAGATTAATCACAGCGTTCAATTACCTTAACCGAGCTTACTGGCCCGGGAAGTACTTCGCCGAACACCCGGGGAAGTCAGCGGGGAAGATGGCTTGGGCAAGTCCGAGCTTATCCACCAGCATGATTGCCCGCAGCTCGCAATTCGCATACCCTAATTGCAGCTCACTCTTCACAGTCTCGGACAGATCATCTCCGAACAAGCGCGTGAACTCCCAAATGAATCCACTGTGCGCAACAACGGCAATCCGAGTCTCTGACAGATTCATCAACCAGTTGGTGAACACCTGAGCTCGATACCGGACCTCCTCCTCCGTTTCTCGCTGGGTGGGCTTGTAATGGACGTCTACGTCGTGGACGATCTCTGAAAAATCCACAGCGGGGTACTGATCCTGCAGCTTGCAGATGGTGCGTCGTCGGTCGCATGGGTGCTGGCCCATGCGCTCCCTGCACCACTCGACTGCGACGAACCTGGGGCAGCCTAGGCTGGAGATTCCCAGCCCATGAGAGGCGACGCTGTTTTGCATTAAGGCGTTGGAGTTCGACTCGCCTGGGCCGAGGGAGTTTCCACTGCCAAAGATGCCAACGGCAGTCTGGATGCAACGGGAAAGGGGAGAGGTGACGACGAGCTGCGGCTGGATGGAGCCAGTGTTGCAGATGTGCTCGCGAACTTGTTGCGCTTGCCTCCAACCGAGCTCGGTCAGGGGTGCGTCGAAATAGGCTTCGGATTCGTAGACGGAGTCGTTGGGAGACTCAAGGCGGGCTTTGTTGTGGGTAGCCTGTCCGTGACGCACGAGGTATACTACCTTGCACCGGGCTGCAGGGTAAGCACCCTGACCTTGCGCCATCTTAATTTTGAGTACTCAGTCACGCATCTGTCACACATTCACCTACTCGCGCATCGAAATCCATGAAGAGCCGTAAAGCAGAATTCACGATTTACTCGGAGGATGTTTTTGAACAGGCCAATATGATTCAGGTCGTTTAGAGGCGAGCGCTCTTTGCCTTCAAGGTTCGTTTCAGAGATCGAATTTGAACACGCCGGCTAGACTTTGCACCGTCATTGATGGTTAGGATCTAATGCTAGCAAGCCAACGCCAAGGAATTTTGTATTAAATGTTAAACAACACATAATGCCACATATGTGTGCCTCGAACGGAATCCCTTGAGTTGCTTCTGGAGCAAGTTCATCACTGGTACCGAAGTGTAGCAGAGTGACGCCGAGGAGGGTTTGGTCGTGCAAGTGGTGGTGAGTTTATTTTGACGTTCCTTTGCAGTAACACCCTTTGGAGTCGAAGAGGTGGTTCTGTTAATAATGGTCATAGTTGATACTTAGCATTTGTGCCCTTTCAGCATCATGCGTAAGGAGTCAGTCATTCAAGCTTTACTTCTCAGACTCAAAGAAGTTGAAAACCGGATGTTGCTCCTTCAAGCAAGCAAAGAGAATCAGCCATGAGAAATCGTGTCGGGAGAGTTGGATTGTTTGGGTCCCTAATTCTGATTTAGTGTATCGAGCATGTGATATTTTCACATCAGCCGGTAATGCTACAACCTCGTGCTTCCGGGATTCAAGTGAAAAATGGAAAGTCATGAGTGCAGAAAGGAAACATACAAATCCCTTCGCACACCCTACATCTTAAAATTTTGGGCTTGAATTTCGTTGAGCCTTAATTCCTCAAAAAGAAAGTGTCTATCTGTTTCCTTAGACTTAACGATAATCCTGCCTGTAAATAGACTGTATAAAAACTTTGCCTTCTCATGACTACTCGTCCTTAATTGTAGAATCTTCCTCACAGACCACTACTGTTGCATACCGCAAGTACAGAGGAAAAGATTCAATTACAGTGTGCTACGAGAATATTAAAAACATATATTGCATACTGAATAGCTAAGTCCTATTAGACAAGGTACTTAAGAAAGGCGAAAAGTAATTAGTTCCTTGCAAGTTTTGTACTGTACCACACATTCACGAGTCTTGTGCATTCTTGTTCATAGCCGACTGTTGCACACATTTCACAAAGGTCTGAAGTTTAGAATACTTGTGAACCAGAGAGAAAGTGATACTGACCTCGTCATCCTAATCTAGTTACGCATCCTTGTCTACAGTCCAACCCAACCCAATACTGACTCCACCATTTCCTTAGTCTATTTTACGTCAAAAGACTGCAGGATTGGATTTCATATATCTAACAGAAACGAACATCATCAACCTGCTCACAGCATTGTTGCCAAAACTTGAGCTGTGATGCACTTCTCAAACTATTGGGGCTCCAACCCTATGTATGTTAACTGATGTGTACAAAGGTGTGAAAATAAGGGGATGGCAATAGATTTGTTAGGATGCCTTTGAGCAAGAGGTTTTTGCACAGAATGAGAACTGTTTAAGCTGCTGCTGATAAAAATATAAAGCTCTTGAGAAAAAATGTCCTGAAAAACCAAAGCGTGGGCAACATTAGCGTAAAATGTCGTGTGTGCTGACGACTTGCATACAATGGCATCAAAACTCCCTTGCCAGTGGCATTGCAGATATATCTTGTGAGTTGAATTGCACCATGGACAAACAGGGTAGAACAGGCTGAAAAATAAACATTCAAGAGAAAAGAAAACAAGTGCAAGGTTTTTGTGCCTTAGCACATACCCTTGAGCACCACTGCAATGGATGCATTTCAAAACATTAAATTACATATAATGATAACAACCGACGTCACAAATATCAGTTTTTTGAGATGAACTATACATGCCAAACTCCTGATCTAGTCTCCACATCTTTAAACATTTGGGCTTAAAACCACTTTGCACGATCACATGTATGAAAGGACCTGCCATAGTAACCGTTTCCATACACAGTCTACTTTTAGATGCTTAATGCAACTACGAAGAAAGTTGATCAAGGCTTCCAGTTGTCCAAGTGCTTCCTATAACTGTGACTTTTATTTCCAGCATCATGTCCCAATTTCTTGATGCACAACATGGAATGCTTTGGATTTCAAACCACCTCGTATATTCTTTAGAAAAATTGATTTTTAGCTTTTGCAAATTCTAACTTCCAGTTGCAGACTCATTTCAAGCTATTGAGTAAGATTACTTTTACTTGTATAGTGAGAGTATAAATTTGATGACTTATTATGGGTACAACAATACAAACCAAAATTAGTTCAACTTGAGGAGACTTGTGGCTGACAGAAACCTCGAACCATGTGAGGTTGGACCCCACTATATTGCTTTCATTTCTATCTTTGTACATATAACCAAACATAATTATAATAAAATAAAATAAAATAAATAATGGAAATAGATGATTAATGGAAAACTAGACTTAAAAATCATACACATTTTCACTATGAAAAATCGTAAATGAGAGTATGAATCAAAATTTAAAAATATGCATATTTAATTTAATTGATAGCTTTTGGATTTAATATTGGCATATAATCTTGTTTAATTGAGCCAAAAAATTACAAAGAAAACATATTTTTTAGAAAAAGAGATTAATGATATTGTTAACAAAACACTTCGGAGTTGTTAAATTGATACCCTTTAATGACCTTTTGGCACCCCTCCTCCCTTAAAATCAATGGTTACTCTCTTTATTTTTATAATATGCCTCTATAATTAGTTCCTAATATCTCTCTCTTCTTACTAAGATGTTTGGCAGATGTTGCCAATGTAATTTACTTCCCTACACTTAGTTTATTGCTTTGTTCTTTTTAACACATAAGCGAATATCATCTCTTCCTTTCAAATTGCAACTCCCACCAAATGTGCAACTCTAAGTACAAACAATCAATCTTTTTTAAAAATAAATTGCAAGGAGTATTTTTCCAATAAATGTTCTTCTATGAAGCCCGAGGATCTTTTTAGTTTAAAAGTAACTACTTTAATTGATCCATTAGGCAAAAACTAGACCACATTTTAGGATGGATGTGTTAAGGACAAGAATTCAAAGTATATAAATAAACAAGTAAGACATATATTAAAGAGAGATGACAAAAAAAGAAATAGAAAAGTAAGTATATTCAAGAAAAAATTGGAATGGCTAATAATAAAGATTAGAAACTAGAAAATTTTAAAACTAGATTGAAAATAAAATAAAAAAAAGAATTAACAAGAGTGAAAAATACCTCATTCTTGCTTTTTTATATATTATTTAATTAAGAACTATGTGGCAACGTTCTATATAAATTTTGACACATGTCTAACTTATAAGACAAGTTTTGTATATGTGAGCCACATATCCAATTTGTACCATAAGGGGCTAACTTGTTGGCAAAGTTTTTAATCTATCAATTCACTACACACTAATATAAAGTCAAATTCTTATCTATGAAGCTTTTAAGAAGCTATTGCATAAGATATAAGCTATTGAATAAGAAGCTATTGCATATCAAATTTACTTACTTCTACTCATATCTATCTAACTCCTTTAATCTAGATAAATATGTATGTCTATGATAGATTATGAATTGAACAATTTTACAATGCTGCATTGATAAAATCCTGAATTTATTATCTTAATTATATCTAAGACTTTTTTGTAAACTAAAAACATCATTAAACTTATGTGTATATGAATATATATATGATTTTTTGAATTAAATAAAATATTTAATTTGATAATTAATAATTTAATCATTATTTATATTTTATTTATGTTCAAATTAAATTAAATTCTTTTAAAAATCTTATCAAAGAAGTTAAAAATTTATAAATAAATAAAATTGTATAAAATTTAGTTATAAAATTAATTAAAAATTAAAAATTCTACTAAGCATTACATATAGTTTATTTAATAATATTAATCATCACACTATGAATTCTTACAATATATCCAATTTTTACATATTTTTAAATATAAAATAATAAAAATATAATGCATTATTTTTAAAAATAAATAAATAATATATATAGTTTTGTTTAGATTTATTATGTATTTATGTGTGTCTTTTAATTAAATAAATATTTTTTTAATTATAATTTTTAATATTTTTTGATTAAAACTTAGATTAAAAGTTAGAATAAAAAATTGAAACTCAAAAAATAAAATAAAACATATCATAATTAAAAAATAATAAATATTCTTAAATAATTAATATATGATTTATTATTTCTTATTTCTTATTATACGTAGAGATTTTAATTTAGCTACATAAAAATTGTTATAAGAAAAAATATTATTTATATCTTTTATTTTATATAAAAAATTAGTAAATGAAAGAACATGGTAGAAGAATAAAAGCTAGATGATCACATCATTGAATTAATAAAAAAGAAGATTCAATTGACATTAATATATTTTTTTAGAATTTACTAATTTCTAGTGCATATAAAAGAAAAAGAAGAAGGATTTTGACAAATATTTATTGTAATTTTTAATGCAATTTTAGTCTAGTTTTTTTTATTGATCAATATATTTTTTTGATTTCATTAAAATAAAAAATCTCCTTTACAATATTTTTATTATTTTTGAGTAGATTATTATAAATTTCAATAATTTCTTAAATTTCTAAAACTTACTTTTAAGCTATTTTAGTATCTCATCTCAAAAATTATACATGCAAACATATTATATCATTAAAAAAAATATGCTAAGCAAATCTTCTCATAATTAATTTTTTTTAAATACTAAAATTATATATATATATATATATATTTATTTTATATATATACAAGAATTTAAAATTTTTAAACCTTTATATCTTCTAAAAACAACTTTTGTAAGATATTATTAAGAATGTGAATATCAATGAAATTCAAGAAATAATACGCTTAAGTATTATTAAAGGAGAAAGAAAGTAAGAGGAAAAGACATTGATGTAAGTTAATATATAATTAAATTGGCTATTACAAAATACAAAGAAGTTGGAGAGTTATAAATTAAAATTAGAATACAAAAAAAAAGAATTGAAACAACAAAGAATGGCTTCACTCTTATCTTTATGTGTACTAGCTACCAAGAAGACCTTGTAAAAGCTCTATAAGAACCATGAGACTTGTAGTCCAAGCATTAAATTGTAGGTTGCTTCTAATGGAAATTTCTAAGAATGAGAAACTTGAGGCACAAGTTTCAATTGCCATGTGTCATATCTATTTGAATCTAAAAATCAAATCAATACCAATTTTTTCAAATTTTTTTATAAAAGATATTATCTACCTAACATATTTGACTAACTTCTACTAATTTCTATTTACTTAAGTAATATAGGTATTTGTTGCATATATCAAGATAAAATATCAAGTTTAATCATTGGTCAAATGTATTTTGGCAACACAATTTTTATTTATTTAATTTCATTTATTTTTGATATTGTCAAAAGAAAAAAAAATAGAATTATTAGTGGTTTATTATTTATAATATTTTCTTAAAATTCATAGATGTGAATAATTTTAAGTAGTAATAATATTTTTGATTTTATGTTTTAGTTTTTTAGTTTTTAATTCATCTTTAGTAATCCATTTTTTAAAACTTTAGTTTTTTGTATTAGAAAATATGAATATATATTATTTTGTAAATATGTATGATTTTGGACGTATAAAAAATAAAAAATAAAAATCAAAATAAATATTTTTTTTGATGGTATGAAATAAAAGATAGAATTTTGTTAAATTTAGTATGATATGACTTATAAAATTTATATTTTATAGCCTCAAAATGTAATATTTATCGCCATAGATTCTATTATAGATAATTGTGAGTAAAAATATTTTTTTACATGTTTATATTAAAAAATATATATATTTTTAAAACTAAATTGAAAGCAATACAAATAATTAATATATAAAAGTTTTTGTACATCTATTATTAATATCTTATATAATATCAAAAATGCTAAAATAATAGGTTATGCCAATTAAAAATTTTATTTTGTTATTAAGATACAATTTTGCAAATCATTCTCTAAATTTTTTATTAAAATTACTACTTTCAAAATTTTTCTTATAAATCCAATTACAAACAAAATGCAACATCAAGCCAAAGCCAAACCAATAAAGAACATCAAACAAGAAAAAATTTGTTGGGAGGAAGTTTTTAGAAAATAGTTGACAATGATATAGTGCCATATTTATGAAAAATTACAACTTTGTAAAGAGGAAGGAAGAAAATATAACACAATTTGTGAAAAATGTTGATAGAGTTGTACAAGATTGTTACTATACTTGTCTTTAGTTTAGAATTACTAAACAAGTGTATCGAAGGGAAATGAATTCAAGGAACTAACAATTGAGGGTTCCAGATTGAGACTCTTGCATTTCATTCTTTGTGATCTTAACGTGAGAAGTAATATGGATGTGTTAATACCTGAATAATTTTGCTAGGATGCGAAGTGTTGTACGAGACCATTCGGAGAGAGGCCTGTTACATTGAACTGCAGACAATTTGTTTTACATTTTTCGTCATTCATGGAATTTGAAGTGTGCTTATCTTCAATTTGAAAGCTTTTTCATTCAATCTTTCTAATCACAATTTGCAATTCTGCTGATAGTGATGGAATCGATTGCAAATAAGGCCAATTTATTGTTCAAAATGAACAGGTGTACGTTTCTTAAAATTGCTAGATTTTGCATATAGATAGTATTTCCCGACCGAATTTGGATATGCGGTGGTCCCGTAGTCTAGCGGTCAGGACATTGGACTCTGAATCCAGTAACGCGAGTTCAAATCTCGCCGGGACCTTTTCGTACCTGAAATGAAAGACTGCTTTTATGATACATTGACTGCTGTCATCGAGATGCGATAGAAGCCATCAGTTCTTTGTTTCGGAATAGAGTGAGACATTTCTCCTCCCATTTCACGAAGGATACAAATCAAGGGCAGTTGCTCAACTTAATGTTCAGGGACCACAAGCCAACGGTTACTTCCTCAAATAACATTCCTGTTGAAAAATGAATCGGTTCTACTGAAACTGTTGCCAGCTGCGCACTCATGCCATTGCACCATCAATGGCGTAAATTCCAACAATTAATTTGTTACTGTGCACTAATCACTGCGAATAAAAAGCTCATTTGCAACAGAACATCCAAGTTACGGGATAATCGTAGCGCGTAGTTACTTTTTGGTCCTAAAACCCCAACGATAAAATAGCACTGACAATCTATAAAACTTTTAGGGTTTTACTTTTTTGTCACGAAAAAATCACTTCAGAGCTCCCGGATTCGCCCAGCATTTGTGGGTTCCCACAGCTCACGGCCTTAAGCACCGACAATCGGCTCCTCGCCAGGTAGAAAGACAGCAAGGATCGAATATTCGAAAACGGAAAGAAGCAATCATGTACGAGCCGGACCCTGGACCGGACCCATTCCCCAACTCGGTCTGTGCATGCGAATCCGGTATTGTCTTTGATGTAGCGAGTGCTGTTGTGAAGAACTCAGTTGGGTTGGCCTCGGAGCGGAGGATGTGCATTCTGTGAGCAAGTTGAGGACCTCGCCATCTTAATATGCTCCTCTGCCATTTTGGGTGCGAGAGGGAGCATCATGGGTGCGACGGCACGGTCATCGCCTCTGGCGCTTCGCTTCATGGTCAAGGGGATCGGCATTGTGCTCTTCTTCGCTCTTGTGTCGGTTTATTCTTGGTGGATTCAAGGGCTGAATGAGTGGGATGGGAACCGGCACAGGGAGTTGCTGGAAGTTGTGGGAGAGGAGGCTGAAGTGGCCCGGAACGGCACAGGCAGGTGGGGTGGTGTGCTTTGTTCTGCTGTACTGGATTTTCTTCTTTTTTAGGTTTTCTTGGATGGTTTCAGGATCGCAGTAGGGCTTCGGGGTTGTATGCGGGAGACTGGTCCTGATGAAACGTTTTCCCGCAGTGTGATCAAGTAGCCATGTAGAATGCAAGCACTGCGAGGGGTCTGGAGCTGAGAGGATTTGTTTCTTGTAGAATGTTTGTTGTCTTGGATGGAGCTGTGAGTCTCACGGTGATTCCGGATCCTGTCGTTGTAGTACCCATGGATTCTATTGTTTTTGCATGCTAGGATTCGGCTTGGGCTATATTGAAGAGCATCTGGCGTTGTGGAATGTGGTCTCAAATGGAGTCTGAATTATTGCTTTCGGTGATTCTTGTTTATGTTGTAAAAGCTGTGATATGGATGTGGTGTTCACAAACAGGAATCTTGGAATTTGGGGGTTCGACCACCATATGTGAGCCCCTTCCGTGAATGATTTTGCTGACCTGGAAAGGTGTGTGCAGGCAATGTGTTAATGTCGAAAAGGAATCCCCTCTTTTACAATGTGAAATGGCACGTATGTATTGCGCGGAGGAGAGTGGGCAAAGCATGGTGAACTATCTCGTCCTCCATTACTGTCAGATGGGAGGAGTGAAATGGATTTCAGTTCCCGTGTTGGTCACAGTACTCGTTCTTGCCTTCTATATCTTAGCGGAAACAGCTGAGAATTATTTTTCTCCTGTGGTTCGACGTTTGGTGGAGATGCTTGGGATGACACCAAGTATGGGCGGAGTGACATTACTAGCCCTTGGTAATGGAGCGCCCGACATATTTGCCTCCCTGGCCGCAATTGGAGGTGGCAACTCAAGGATTGGATTCGGTGCCATTCTGAGCGCAGGAACTTTTGTGTCCGCCTTTGTGGTGGGATCAGTGGCGTTAGCAGCCGCACCTTTCTCTGTCCGGCCAATGCCATTCGTCCGAGACTTGACGTTCTACTTTGGTGCAGTTTGTCTTCTCTTTATCATCTATCTGAAAGGGGAGATTGTGTTTTGGCAAGCCGTGGGGATGGTTTCCTTCTACGTAGTCTTTGTGGTTGTTGTACTTTGCACCGACAAGCAAGAGGTAGAGTCTGTTTCAAAGATAGATGAGGTACTTGAAGGTGCGACTGATATGGACCCCGAGAGGGTTCTGAAGAAAAATGCGAGCCTGAAGGAGTCGAATGATTCTTCGAAAGTGCCCGGCATGGACGATACTCCTGACGAAGTTGACGTGGTGGTAGATATCTCATCCTTCAAAATTGGGGAGCCTGTGAAAATGCAAGCTGAACCAGAAGAGAAGTGCTGGGACCAACTCTTTGGCCCTGCAGGGAGGTTCGCCGAAATACTCAAAACAGAAGAGGTATAGTTATTATGTCTATTTTTGGCATGACTTCTTACAATTTGCATCGATCTTCTAGTGATTTGAATGATTTAAATGCTTATTGAAATTTATATATTCATTTCGGATTGGATTGTACAAAAATCGAGCTTTTTCTTTGCTTTCCTGGAGCACCATGAAAGACGGAAGTGCCACTGAAAACAGTTTTGTAATGCTTAGACATCCATGCCTTTAACTATGAGGAGAATGTTTGATTTGTGACCCTTCATGAACAGCATATCTCAAGTATACGTCAACCTTCATGCGTATGATCAATTCACCGCCTGTGGGCGTTAATGACAGTCCTTAAAGTTTTTTTTTCCTTTTCCTGTTTTGTTTTGTTCCTGTCAGGTGATAATGCTGTTACACACGCCTACAACAGCTTTGCTAAAATCTACAATTCCTGAAATTGAGCCAGCGAAATGGAGTAGGAACTATGGAACGGCCAACGTTGTGTTGTGCCCTCTGCTCATACTCTACATGTTCACCTCGTTTATCTCCCTTAATCGCCATATTGTTTTTCTATCTCCATCCCTGCGATTACCCATTTGGCTCCTCATTTTGCTGCAAGGATCTTTCATGGGGGCCGCATATTATTTAGCTGTCAAACGTCCTCCTACTTCTGGTCAATTCGTTGTAGTGACTGTCGCCTTCATTATGAGTGTCTTCTGGATATCTGTCATAGCTGGAGAGCTCCTTGGATGTCTAGTGACACTGGGTATTATTCTTGGGGTGTCACCAGCACTACTAGGCTTGACGGTGCTTGCCTGGGGTAACTCCATTGGTGACCTCGTGGCTGATGTTGCGGTTGCTAGAGTCGGCCAACCGGCAATGGCGGTGGCGGGTTGCTTTGCAGGTCCCATGTTCAACATGCTGGTAGGACTAGGGTCAGCCTTATGCTTACGAACTGCTAAAGAATTTCCAGTAGGATATCAACTAGATCACCACCCAGGAATTTTAGTTGCTTTTGGATTTCTTACCTTGAACTTGCTGGGGACCCTAATTGTTGTGTCGTCCTCAAAATTCCAGCTGACACGCTTTTGGGGAAAGTGCTTGATCAGCTGGTACATCTTATTCATGGTGGTTAGTGTGGTAGTGGCACAGTTGGTCTCAGTAGGGAGCTTAAACTGATTGAGTGGATCAGTGTCTTAGCAGCCCACTGTCTCAGAACCCTAGAGTCTTTCAAAATTGAGAAGAACGAGATTTTAGAGTTGCAGCTAGCATTGCCCCTGATTCTTTCACATCCTTAAATTGAGAGGATGACATTATTTGAGAACTGTACTTAGGTCAAAGGCTTGTATAAAACCAGCTGGTGCCTCCTCCATGGACATTCTTACTTCGTAGCATGGAGCACTGATAACTGCGAGACTCAACCCAGGCTTTTGCGATGCCCTCACCCCTATTACTTAACCCTTGCTTCCCAACTTCAAGACTCTACGGAAAGGTGAGCTGCTCACTCCGTGTTATGGGGCGTTGATCGTCTTTTCTCAGAAAGTCTCATTTTTTTATGCGTTTCTATAATTCAGGGCAGGCTAGAGGTAGGGCTCGATTTAGTCTGTCAGTGAGCAAGTGCTTCTTCTAGATCCAGCCAGCTTTAGAAAGATTAGGCTAATTTCCGTTACTATTTTGTGCAGGTTTTGAATTGCTCGGAATGGTCGTGCCTTAATGGGAGCCAAATACCACATCATCATCTCGCGTTTTTTTTTCTTTTTCTTTTTCTGTTCCACCTGTAAGCTGCTCAGCTTGATTCCAAGAGGTTCCCTGTTTGATTTCAAATTTTCTGTGAGCACAGGCTGTTGCCATGACGCTTGTCAACTTTAGCTTGTTTAGCTGTTATTACTGTGCACAGTTAGCCCTTACGAACATGGATACTAGGACATGCTAATGGAAGACAAATTAATTGACTCTAGAATTTTTACCTTTCCCTTTTAGTGTTCTCATCTATGTCGTCCTTGGGTTAACTGTGTTATTTTGTGGGTGCAGCGCGAGGCTCATGAACTCGGTGGTTATACTTCAACAGCTCAGCTGGGTATCGAAGCACTGTAATTAGGTTGTCCGAACTTAACATGTCTACATTTTATTTAACGAGATGGAGCATTGGACATTGAAATCGTTCTGAGACCACCGAATCTGTTTCTCAATGCCTGTGATCAAGACACTTGGCGATCGTAGTTTTAATGTTGAACAGTAGAGTGCATAGCACAATATGAATATGAAGGGGAAATATTAGCAGATACATGATAATAGTTAAAGGTAAATTACGCATTTCATAGTACATGATGCATTGTCGATAAGCTGATTCGAACCGCCAGGAAAATGTGGCGAATACAGTGCAGTCATTTTCATGATGCTTCTGGACTTTTGTAAAAGGATTACGAAACTGATAGGCATCCTCGTCAGGTCTTCCTATACAGAAGTACGGCTGTTTTGCAAAATGTGTCAAGAACCATTTTCATTCCAACAGTATCACAGTTCAAAATTCGATAAAAAAATAAAATAAAAAATAGACTTCATGGTAGACTTGTTAGATGTCTTTTCAAACACTGATGTGCTAAATGAATGAATAATCTATATGAATTATTTTATAATTGATGCTAGTGTGGACGAACCAACAGCAGAATCAAATTTTCTAATATCTGAGCAACAATGATTTATTCATTTGTAGAATACAGTGATGCATGACGGGATCCTTTGTGGAACTACTTGACGCATTTTATGTAATCATGAACATGTCTTCAAATGGTTATGAAGTACCTTTAGTAAAAAATCAGCGGGTTGTTCAACAGAGTATATGATATCACAACAACTTTCACGGAAGCATGTAAGTAGAGAGATACAAGAGGGTGAAAAAGTTAAAATCTTCAACAACGGAGAGTGACGCGCACCGAAGACATGAAGGAAACTCCCTCATCAATACCATCAAAACTTTTTGATTCAGCACGTGTTAAAGTTGCCGGCGGGCTTCACTGATTCCCACACCAGGACGTGGCGGAGACAGGGATGAGAATCAATAGGCATTCCATTAGATGTCTAGAACTTGTGCCATGTTTGTTTTATTCTTCCAGTACAACGGGAGATTGTGGACATACCAGCTCACATCCGGGACATGCCTTGCGGACAAAAAATCAGAAACTCCTTTTCTACCTAAAAAAACGTGCTCGCCGCTGTGTGCCTTGTGGCTAAGAGACATTTCGATCACAATCGAAGAACATGAAAGTGCACGACCCCCCCTCGTCGGTGCAGCCCTCCCCTTCCTTCCTTCCTTCCGTCGCCGAAGGGGCCCAATTGCAAGTAACTAAACCGGAAATACCGCTGAGTCGGCCGATTTGGCGAGTTTTCTTGGGTCTCTCGCGACACTGTGGGGCCCTCAAATCTCTTCTTCGGCACTCTTCGCTGGCCTCTCTCCTCTTCCCTCACCTACCCTCGAGGGAAGGGAGGGGACCCCTGAATAACAAAAAGGAGATTATGAGACACTCGACTACACAATGGACTAATTGTGTTTTTTTGAGTTATGTAGTTCTCCAGAAACATACCATCCATCATAGGGTCAACCCCCTCTGGATTCCGGGCAGAACATGCAAGAGACCAGCCCTAACAACAGACTAAATTTCTCATCACAGGTTTCTTTTTGCCTTGTCTATGGATAGCTATCTGAAAACTTGAAAACACCATCAGAGATGAATACTGTCACATTCATCTGATACACTATGTTGCTCTGTTTACAACTAGCTGTTGACTCCTTGATGGGTTATGAGGGGATCAACTCCAATTTGTTCCAAGTATGGTAGTTCCTTAGTGTTTGATACTGAGCAGGCTCTTTTCATCATTTGAGCAGCTTGTAGATCCAGCCCCAGTAACTGTGCTCACTATCGGGTCAAGAAAAAGCTGGAGGCTATTGTGGGATGTCTTTATAAGCTGTAGTCCTAAAACATAATTTTATGGATCCCGAACCAGTATAGGAATTCCTTAAGCTCATTTACTCCAGATGCAGGTTTCAAAAAGTAAAAGCAAAGAGACAAAAATTAATATCACGATACTTTCCACTCAAGTTTCTTTCTCATACAGTCACTTGTGATCAATCGGTAAGATGAGAAATAAACATAGACGAAATGACAGCAGAGAATGAGCTGGCTGCCATCGAAGCTGTCCGGAATGCAATTCACAGACAAGGTGCGGGGAATCCTCCTCATCACAAACGTTCTAGTCCACACTCTCAAGACAATCGGAGAGATGTCTAGAGGAAGAATTTTCTAGCTGTGTCTAGATGCATTACAAGAAGGAAAATTGTTCCCATTAGAAGCAGCATGTTAGAAATTACCAGCTGCTTTTGAACAGCTAGTAACTTTAACGCTTAATGTGACACACGCCCTACAAACCCAACAAATAACTCAAGTTTAGGATAGTGTGGTAGCATTAGTAAAAGTCATGGAGGCAAGTGGCAAATTAAGGTGGCATCAATGACACCCTATGTTTAAGTTTTTTTTTTTTTTTTTTTTTTTTTTTTTTGTATATATTGATTTTCAACAGCCCTTTACTTGAGATTCGACAGACTAACCCTAAAACTTGGCTGGAAATTACCTATAGGTTTTAAACAATTCAAAACAGCTTTGTTACCGAGTGGAGGAGGTGTCGGTAAGGATTCAAAGTAATGCCGACTGCCTTTTTGCTCATGTCATACACATCTCCAGTTAGCCCGACTGTGTTGAAGATGCACAGTTTGTTTTCCTCCAATGGTAAACACGTGTAATCTGGATATAATAACAAACCTCGAGTTTTTGGTCTGAACCGTGTAAGTGCCCTGGTCCTTGTGTGTGTTCCTCCGATCCTAAAGTCAAGTCTTTCAATGCACTGGGTGACAACTGAGCCAGTCGCTTGCTCGGAGAAAAGGTAGATCACGCCGTCGTCGCTCTTTACAAGCTGGGCAATGCGGAAGTTAGTTGTCACGGCAGAATTCATAAAACGCGACCTGGAAATTGGGCAACACGAGTCTGGTCGCCACTCATTTTTTCCCAAGTCAAAAGCCAGAATTCCTTTCCTTCTGACTTCCATGAATCCTGTGCACAACAATAAGTTTTGCTTCTCGCAGCAGACTCCAGTCTGGTGTTCGATTATGATAAAATCCTCACCCGGTACATCCCCAACAACTTTCCATTGTTCTTTGACTGAGCAGAACACCTCTGTTTTTCTGGAAAGGTACGCTGTTCCACCTACAGCACTCCCAACTGCAATCACTCGAAAATCTGCTCTGCCGGGCGTGGTTACCTGTAGTGATAAGACAATAGGGTGGCGCGGATGGTTCAAAGGAGGCAGTAGTTTTGCTCCTCCTGTCATAGGGTTGAAGATATACACCATCTCGTCCATGTTCAAACAGATGAGACTATGATGACCCGCAACCACTGATTTCATCAAAACGTCATAATTTGGAGTTTGAGTACTAAGTTTAATCGGAATTGACGTGCGCCAATACTCATTCTTCATATCGAACCCAATCAAGCGACAAATTTTCCTCCTATATCAATAAATGCGGGACTGAGAGTGAAATCTTTTCTGGAGGTAAGTCGTCCAAAGTTTTCTTTTTGGAGATAAGTCGCCCATTGTTAGAGCCACTTACAGATTCCAAACTCATCAAGTTCAGTGTTCTCCTACTAATCTACAATCAAGTCCCAACCAAATTGTTAGACACTAGGGTAAGGAGAGGCGACTAACAGACTCATTGAACCACACAAGAAAGCTGGCTGATGGTGATACTGATAACGGCTGCCTCGAAGGAGACAAAATTTCAAGTGAAATTTCAAGTCTGCTGGGAAAGAACTTGGGAAAGATTTATGTGCAAGGTTAGCAATGTTGCACCTTTCTGATCCGTTCGGTCTCTTCTGAGTTTACGAAACCCGCCGCTGATTTTTTTCAGCTTATAAAAAATATAACAAATAGGTGACATGAATGTGCAACATGCAAATGTTTTATTGGCCGAGCACTATTCAGAGCCTACTAAATAGCATAATGAACAAAAAGAACTCCAATGCTTCAAGGTTTCAGTTATGGAGATGTCGGAATTTCTAGTAATGCACTTAGATTTTTCATTACGAATACTCAGGTTAAATGAATGAAATAACTTCAGTGCTTTGATCAAGGGTGATAATAAGAGATGAAGAGTCTCTGGTGCAGGTGAGCAGCAAAGTTCAAAACCATGCAAGTGAATGTAATACTTTGATTGGGCACTTGGGTGAAGCAGCGTAGCTCAGCTCAATGTAGATAGGTAACTACCTCTGAGTTGGAACTTGAGAGGTCAGAAAAGGAGTCAGTCAGGCATTCCTGCTGAATTCATGGCCATCACTCCCTTCTTTTGACCCTCACAGGGAGGTTTTTGCAATATGGAACTTTTGTCAATTTATAAGTATAATAAATTATTGTGACAAGGAATTATATAGGGTTAGAGATTTGACCTGGCTCACAGAAAAGTATTCTCACAAGAATGATGCAGTTTCACTATCAAGGTTGCAGTTTGAAAAGCGATTTTTTTTTAATGTAATCAGATTCTCACACTTAATTAACAATGTAAAGTTTGCCAGTTACAACAGGATTAGAACTGCAAGTGTGCAATTGGCAACAGGATGTTATAATTTTAGCTTATTTTCAAGTAATGCGATCACTGTAGGGAAAACTGAGCACTTCTTGGCTGTCGGACCAGGCCCAGAGAGGACGATGTCCGGGATGCAGTTCCAGGAAACTGACGTACTGTTGTGGAAGCTCTAAGCGCCACGGCATATTTACGAAGCAGTCACCGACCCACTTTCAGAGGAATTCCTAAACTCGATTAAGCTACAATCGCAGCACCCCCACACCCGCCGTAGACTTTGCACCGCCCTTACGGCGTTGACTCTGGATTCCAGGCCCATATGCTCGCAGCGCGGTGTACCTTCCTAATTCCTTGCTCTATGTCATTCTCATCAAAATCCAAAGTACGCGGTTGGGACCTACCAACGTGCGTTTTGGGCAATTACCCACAATTGACGTTTAGAGAAAATAAATTAAATTAAAACTTCAGAAATTATATTTGAATAAGTGCATGACGACTTACCATTTCTCAATTCACATCTTTTGAGGAAATTTCAACGCACGAAATATTTCTGAAACATAAGACGCTTGTGCCCTCAACATAAGGGCACTTCGACCACAATGAAAGAACTTGACAGTCTGCAGCAGGCTTCTGCCTCCGAGATGGAGGACTCTCAGACTGAGAATTGTGGAATTACAGTAGATGATCGACATCCGAGAGAGTTGATGGAGGTATCCTGCAACATACCATGCGCAAGTGATAGCAAGTCTTTCACGGAAGTAAGCGAGGTTCTAGACAGCACTTCGGAGTTGGGGCTCTCGAATGCCGAACCTGAGAGATTGCTTTCACAGTGTGGTCGCAACGAGCACAAGGGTCAGGGGACAGTGAATCCATGGAAACTTTTGCTTGAGCAAGTGGCCGACGACCTGACGGCCGTGCTAACAATCGCCACAGTGGTGTCGTTCTACGTAAAATCTACGATGTAGGAGGAGTGATTGTAATCAGCACCACCGTTGGGTTTGTAAAGGAGTACAAAGCCGATAAAATCATGGACGCCTTGCGAAATGTGGCGTCGCCGTAGGTGAAGGCCATTTGAGACCGTGCCCAGCAAAGAATCGCCAGTGGAGAAGTAATTCAGATAGATGTGCTGACTTTTGAGGCCTGCTACATTATTCCTGCAGATGGCGAATTGAAAGAGGTCCAGAATCTTGAAGGTGGCGAGGCTTCGCTCACTGGTGAGTCTGTAACTTCGATCGAGTTCGTAGAACTAATTCTGGGCATGGGTGTCTCGAATGGCGATCCCACCAACACGAGGTGCTCCGGCAGGACGGTGTGAAGGGAAGAAGGCGAACAATCGTTGCATCCTCCGAAATGGATTGTTATTCACGAAGTCAAAGAAAGGAAAAAATCCTTCCCTTGAGGTGTAGAAGAAGCTAAGCTTGACGCTACACCAAAACAGACGTGTATCATATCCGCGGACATTTACAGTGACAATTCAAACTATTATTCATGACACCATGTCAAATAAGATGCTCACGAGTGCTAAATCCGCTTCACCGATAGCCGTGACAAGACGTGACCACATCCTCGTACAAGGGAAATGTACATGCAACTTGACTTCGACAGTTCTTTGCTTTAGAAGCAACAACCAGCACCACCTACAAGCCTACTCATTCATATTGATCTAGCCACAACAGCCCACTTTTATTTCAAATTATGAATCAGACCACTTCACAGTCCACTGATGATGATGATGATTATAAAAAATAATGTAGCGAGAAGCGGAAAACCTCACAAAATGCAGTGGCACAAACAACCCAAGTGAAGGGAGTCGTTAAATCAAAACGTCAATGACTAGTGCCTATATCTAAGAGATTAATACAGGCTCCAAACAACCTTGCCACATCCTAAAAACCGTCGCGGATAAGCACTTAGATAGCTCGCTGCTTACGTCTCCAGTGCTCTGTTGACCGAAATACAGGAAGAGGCAAGTCAGATACCTAAGGTGATGTTTCAGTCCCAAACTCTGCAGAAAACACTTTCGGAACCTGTAAACTTCGACGTAGTATTCAAGTTGAATAGTCTAAATTCTGATTCACAGAACGACTGCAAATAAAATTACAAACGAAGAGAAAGTGAAGCGATTGGGTGGTATACCGGTTGTGTGACTCCTCCGTGGAAATCGGGCCAATTTGGATTGAGATGTAAGAACATCTAATGCCCATCCCACGCTTTAGGACACCAAGGTGCATCGGAACTAACCTGTGCACACAGTGCTACGTGCCAAGCGCTTCACATATTTCTACTGCTATCACATTATTCTAGTGAAGACTATCCTGGAAAAAAGAAAAAAAAGAAAAAAAAAAAGAGTAAATATCTCACTGCATCAGCTAGATGCCAATGATGCATAAGCTGTCTCAATTCGACTCATTATCCACGCAACACCCGCCAGCTTTCATGAAAAAGAACCACTTGGTTTACGGGTGTTATCAACATCTCCGCACCTAGTGATGATGTATGCAAACAATCATGTCAAATGATTGCACACCCTTCTTAACCCCAATACCACCATATGCCTTTCTGACTTGAGCTTATCCACCGATCCTTGCTAGTAAGCATCAAGACATGCTTTTCACTTCCATGGCCAGTTCCATAATGTCTCTGATATATGAGCAACCCACTGAGCTCACATGCAAATCATTCACTTCCATGCGAACGAAAGGATGACACTGATTGTGCAGATATTGATGCAGTTGGACTGCCCACTTGTGTATTCCAATCTTCCAGAAGCACCCGAACTGCTTCTTGTGCTGCATTTAAAAACCACTCATCTTCTTGCAACACACTGTATGCAAGCAAGTTAAGCATCAGTGAAAAGATTCAGAAAACGCAGAAACATTGGTGGGTTTCACGGCTGGGGTTTCAACGCTCCATACAATTTTCACTGTTGTTCATTCCGCTCACAAAACCAAGCACTAACCTCCAGAAGCTTGGTTACAATTTTCAGCGCTAGAACCGACGCAGTGAAGTACACTATTCTTCATAACAAATACAGCAGCATTGTCGACCATTAACTGCTTGTAAACGAACAGAATCAAGCATAATAGACACATAACCCAAAAAAATGATGTCGGAGCTGACCTGTGAGGATCACCTCCTGTCGCTGCAAAAGCAGTAACAGCTCGCGCTGTGACATCATTAACCACCTGGCGCATATGTCTTGATGAAAATCGACCATTTATCGCAACCTGAATGACAAACTGCATATCCAGAACAAACTGGACCCACAAAGAAGTAGTAGTGTTACAATCAATGCACCAGAAATGCTCATATCCGATAAGCTAGAGCTGCACAAATAATCCACTAACTGTTTATTGACCGTCTTCACTAACTCTTTAAACCCCACCCTACATCAAACTCCAAATTCCAGTTCCTGCCAGCACTAACAGAGGTTGCGATCCATCGAAAAAAGAAACTTAACATTTGAATAGTTTCGCATGTGCCGTTACTCATGCAAGAGTAAGCGACAAATAAGTAAAAATAGACGGTGACATATAAATAACTCACTTCAAGCATCTCACGAAAGGAAATATGTAAAATCTTACTTGTTGCAAACCAATTGGACCTAGACTAATTTCTCCATCTTCAATGGCATCCCAAAAGTCCTGATCTTCTGATAGACAGATTACTAAGGTTTCAGTAAGTCGCATGAGCAGCACAACAACCACTCTTTCCCTTCCTGAAAGCAAGTCCGCAGCTGTGTGCTGGATTGAGGTCAATTTGTGAAACAAAGCCTGCAAAGTCCACACATTTTATATGTAAGATACAGAGAGGCCGAATAGCATGAAAAAATTCAGCAGCAATCAGAACCGACAAGAGTATCGAAAGAGAAGCCCGCTGGGTTCATGCTACCAGCGAATGAAAACAGACGAGAAGAAAGAAACATGCAACACGGAGAAAACCACGAAGGCAACAGAACTTGCCCGAAAGATAGGAGATGGCATTGGCTCCTGGTGCCAGTTGGGGTTTCCGCCATCATTGTCAAGATTCAAGTAGGTCTCTGGGCTAAGCTGAGAGTCAGGTTCGTCAGAGAAGTATATCAACTCAAGAACATGCTGTCTACAAAGATGATCTCTAAGCCTGTCGACTCCTCGCTGCAGCCTTCGTCGCCAATCCTTGAGCTCAGGTAAGCGATTTGCAGTAGTTCCGAATTGATTTCTTTCTACAATACAAATTGTAAAGATATACTTAGTAAAATACCGCGATTATTTAGGCCAGTGCATATTTGGACAAACATAGTAGGGATTACAAGCGATTACTGAACAAGATCACTGATATTACCTTGATCTCGATCACGTCCTCGACGAGGTGCTGACCGCAAGTCGTCTCTGCTCAGAACAGTCTGCATACCACCTGGAACCAACTTCGACGCAGCCCGAGGTAGAAGCTCATCAGCAAGCGCAGAGGCATTTCCGAGAAGTGCCAATTGTTGACTCTCTGTTGCCGCCGGTCGCACCTGCAACAGTCAACCAGATTTTGAAAAAGAAGCAAGTACACTGGAAAATGCACCAAAACAAAACAAAACAGACTAACCTACCAACTATTAATGAATCTTATATGACATACATAAAAATCAATAGAAACAACCAACAAACACACAGCAAATGAACAAAAACAGCCAGAACTGTTCGCATCTAATGATATGACATGGCATCTCATAATCATCTTCAATAATATTCTAAGTTAGCTTTTCAGGATTATATCCAAGATCATCTCCTGGGAAGACTCCCAATCAATTACGCTCATCTTATACAATGCTCCCATCCGCATAATTGTACATGACACTTGCAACAGATCAAACTTGGATACGCGAAAATGATATATATATATATATATATATATATATGTGTGTGTGTGTGTGGAACTCTGTCAGAATCAACCAATTGAGCATTATTTTCGTGTAAGCAACTAACATTCCCACCTTCCGATCACCTCCATTCTCTGCTCCACCTTCCTCGTCCTCACCGGGACTGGGCACAGCCTTCATTAGCATGTCAACATAGGAGTCAAAAAGCATAGAGAGACCATCTAGGGTAGGACCTCCAAGCTGCATGCTGATTAAGGGCGCAACATCCTCCAAAAAATCCTGTGCAAAACGGAACTCACATATTCAGTCTGAAGAAGACAAATAGTCAAACCCATCAATTCGGAGTTTACAAAATTTATACTACCAAGCGCAACAATACACTTTTTTTGTTTCATTATGACACAGCTAGACAAAAAGCCAGCATTGAGTAAATGAAATCATCAAATAATATACCAAAAAATATTAAATTACAGCATTTATCAATAACAGAAGTGGCCACGAAACTCTACCATGTACAATATTTCAATAGATCAAGCTGGTTAAACTAACCTGCACCATAAAGTTGAAACGATGCGCACTGCTGGACAACTTTAAGTACGACCCATGTCCTGTGCCATAAGAGGACCTCATTCCATATGAGCCGCGCAACATCGCACCTGGATGACTAAGCACCCAATCATCAGCTGCTGCCAATGCAGCAACACTCTCTTCAATCCTAGTCAAGTTGGCTTCCAAAGCTTGCTCTACACTTGGTCTCACGAGTTTGGAGAGGACTGGACAAAGAGCCAATCCTTGGTCCTCCAGTAACTGGCAGTGACCTAGAGCAATCTGTACACATTCAGCAGCAGCTCGTAGACCTCCAGCAGCAGCCGAGGAGGACAGGACATGCCGTTTTACTAAAGAGGCAAAGAGCTCAGTTTCTGAACGAGCCCACAACACTAGCTCTGAAGCATATGCAGGTTCTTCTCCAAATACTGCCACCGAATCTCTTGAAGCCTTCAAAACAGCAAAGCGTTGACAACAGCACAAGTTCACTTCAGAAACTCTCCGATAATCATTGGTGTTTATCACGTTATCAACCAAGTCTATATCAATTTCATGCAAATCAATATGAACAGAATAGACACACAGCAAGAGTATCGTACATCGGTCATTTGTCCATAAACACGCTGCAAACTAGAGAAATACAAATGCAATTGAATAGAAAACGTCAAATCTAAGAAAGAGATCATACCTGAGCGATTCCAGAAAAAACTAGCTGGGAGAGCGCAGCGGTATAAGCCCCACCATAAGATGTCCCACTAGGACGAAGTCCTCTAACATTATGCTGAAGCCTCTTGTGATGAGAATGCAACAAAAGAGTGTGTGCTCGTGTTCCATCACCTAATTTGTCTAAAGCACCTATAGCAGAACGCAACTCTGAACCTCTAAAGAAAGGTTGTTGAATGGCTTCTGCAAGTTGCTCGGCTAATCTGGCTCTTCTCTCAGACAACGCCGCCTGCAACTTGGAAGCTGCAACAGTGCTTATCCCACCTTCGTAGCCAGTTGGCTGAAAGCCCTCTGAAACTAGCATGTCTCCTTCTTCTAAGATCTGTAGAGCTTGGTTTACTTTCCTCTCAGCTAGTAGAACATCGAGAATATCTGGGATATCCTGGGCACGTCTTTCTAACTGCGAAGGTTCTGGTTCATGCTGAGGCAGATCTTTTTCTTTTGCGACTGTACCAGATGAGTCGTTTGAAGTTTTGGAAGTAACACTCTCTGCCAAGCCACGAACAAGTGCTGCCTGGGAATTCAAAAGATTTCTCATGGCAACTAGCTCGCCCTCCAGATCTGAAATCTCACGAGAGGTTCTGGCACATACCGGAACAGAGTGAGGAGACAGATAATCGACAATCTGAAATCGACACTCTGAGGCTGAGGTGAATATAAAATGGGTTATTTCAACGCAGCATTCACTATCGATGTAAGCGCTTTGATATAGAAACATTCAACTTGACAACTGACACGTAACTAAGAGATAAGTCTGTATGCCAAATGGGTGTAATTATTCATCAGAAGCACTTTGAATAGTCAGATTGTATGAGACTCAAAGTCACAAGAGCTCTTGTGATAATGCTGGAAGAACACAACTTTAAGAACGCTTGAAGCTATTCCAAACATTCCAAATGTTCCAGCATGTCTTATCAATGGCTGAGGAATGCATAAAGCACAGCAGTAACTTAGTTCTATGACCTCTTGACCAAAGTACCTCTTTATTTCAGTGGAGTACTACGTATCATAAAATCATAATTCTGAAATCATAAATTTTGACTCGTTTGACGACAACGGATGCTGTCAGGTCATTGGATTCTAAGTATCTCTGACAGGACAGTCCAACTGGAGCATGAGGCTTCACCTGCAGGACCTTGTAAATTAGACGAACTGCAATTCAAACTTAAAAATCGTGGTCTACATTCTCTACGCACCTAATGAATGCCATACAAAGGGAGTATTGAGAAGAGATAGTGCACCTTATAAACGCTGCATAATTAGCGTACACGCTCTTGCGCATTTCTTCCGCAGACGACTTCTTCAAATCAAGCAAATCATCGCACAATTTCCGGATGCCCTGTGAAACAGGAGAGAAGAAAGAAGAGGAAAGTATTAGCAGCCGCAATTGAAAGAATATTTAGTATATTTCAAAGAAAACAGTGGATCCACTGTCACCATTAGATACAGCAGCACAGGGCTCTCACTCCAACATCGTAAAGTCAGGATCCACACAAGACATCAAAAAAGCTCTGTCACACCATTGCAGTAATTTTCAAGCTATCTAGCACTATGGTTGTAGGAATGAGAGCAAACCTTTTCACTCATAGATTGACACTTAGATTGCACATAAGCCTGAGCGTCAAACTCCTCTTTCTCGAACACAGACAATTCACTGCGCAAGTGATTGACGTAACCATTGCTAACGGGGGCTCCAGGGGCAGAACCGTTGCTTCCAACCGATTGAGACACATTTGACTGCACTCCAGCGCCCCGATGTCGAACAGAAGGCTTCACGGAGCCCATCGCTTCAACTGAAGGTCACACTATGCCCTTGTGCCCTATCTGCAAAAAGCAAACTCGACCATGAGCTGCGTAGACAAGAAGTCGAGATCTGCGACGCTGCTACCCTAAATGCTGAAAATCCAAACTACAAGAACTCCGCAATTCAAATTGCTGTGGTTACAAAGCAACATCGTTGCATCTCTAGAAACTGGATCTAGCAAAATGATAACCTAGGCATCCACAAGCCAAATTGCATTCAAAAAAAGCCCCCATTTCTAGGTCCAAATCCCTCAGAGCGTTACAAGATTTGCCAAGTCAAAAAAAAAAAATAATAATAATAATAATAATAAAAAGGGCGCCTATAAACTTCATTCTCCTGCACGCAATGCCCAGTGGAGTACAAGTAAAGAAGCCAGAATAACCTCCAATGTCAAAAACGGACCCTCCGCTAGTACAACCGGGCACCTTTGCCAGACTCACTCGACATACCTGCTTCAAACTTCCCCTTTCTCACTCCAACCCCCGCGAAATTCCGAACGCGACCTCATGTAAAATTCCACCAAGGCATCAATCCGTCCAACCTCCGCATCGTACAACCCCGCAACGCTGACTCCCTCACGTTCTCAAAACACTCCTCCCAATCTGCCAACTCCGAAACCTCACAACAAACCACTCTCGCACCATAAAATCCCCTCTCCAATCTCGATCACCTCTCCCGCACATGCATTCCTCATCAATCCTCCCTCCAACTCACACACAGGCCCTGTCTCCTCCAATCCAGCCGAATGAAACTAGCACGAAGGACCGAAACAAAAACAAATTTTAAAATTACATATATATATATATGAATAACGATACAAAAAGCAGGCAGGCGCAGAGGCGCAAGGAAGACGACGCGAACAAGTCCAAGCCAGGCACGAGAGGCGTGACAACAACAACGTAGGGATGCGCGCAGGAACGGTGTCGTAACGCTACAGCTTCCCATGGATGGACGCCATAGCTGCCCTGCTTGCCTGCCTGCCGAGGTTGTTGCTGTGGATGTTCGTCCTTGTTGCTCGAGTGAGTGGAAAGTTCATAGGGCTGATGCCGAGGAAGACGACGACGACGACGACTTCTACCGGGCCAGCCCCCTTCGTTACCGGCCCCTCGTTGGAGAGAACTTTCATCATCCAGGTGCCCCGCTCCAGCCATCCAGCACAGGCCCCTCTCCCCCTCCCCGAGGCCCTCCCGCCCCTTCGCTTCGACGTACCGACATGCTGTTGCTAATTCCTGCCAAATTAGTCTTCGAACCCATGTGTTCCACATTGTGTGTTTGTTCAATGATTTCGGACTTTAGTAATATAAAATTATTTAGTGTGCCAATCTGGAACCCCTCCCTCCCCCTTTGCATTCATTCACTCCAGGGACATGAACTAGGAGAATGAGAATCACAACGGACGACGCTGTGTGTGGCGAAGTGAGTGCGATGTAAGGTGTCGAATTCGGTGCACCCCTATGCAATAAAACTTTAATGAAGTTCAGTGTATGTATATATATATATGATGTGATAGAAATTAATGGGATTGAGAGTGGTTGTAGTTATTGGGAACAAACAATTTAGAAATTATGTGACAAGCTTTCCATGACTACAAATCATTTTAGATGCCATTTTGTAATACTAAAAGTAAAAATTAAAGTAGAGGAGATGTTGACAGTTTTACTATAAATTTATATTTCGGAAAGGGTTTAATTTTCTATGCAACTATAAATTTTCGGTTTTTGGAATAAAAAAATGTAAAAATACGGATTTTTGAAAAAAAAAGAAAAAAAAAGAAAAAAAAAAAGCAATGGGTATTTTGAGAATAAAGAACAAACAACTTGTTGTTGTAGCTTTTGTTTCTGTTTCTTTGCTTGTTGTTAAAAATTATTATTATTATTATGATGAGTCATCAGATAAAAACATCAATATAAATTTAAACAAAAAGCTTGTAACGTTAAAAGTAAAAAGTATAAGTAGGGACAATATTGAAGCCATATTGAATCTGATTAATTTATCTTTTAGTTTTATTTGCCTTGTGTCATTTGCAGCCATTTAATCTTTTTGCATAACTATTTCAAATATTTTATTTTATCTTAATTTGACTGTTTTTTTACATTTAATATGTAACTTTTAATTATATGTGTCTTGAAGTATAAAATGATATCTTTCTGTAGTATTATCCTGAAAAAGTAACAAAACTAGATTAAAGGTTGTTCTTTTATGGTAACAAAGCAAATTTCCCTGTTGTCTGTAACATATTAGAGTGTTTCATAGAGAAGATGCTACTTTTCTTTAATAATAACACGGATTGATTGATGTATTAATTTATTAATTTCGACAATTAATACCATATTATAAATATAAAATCACATGAGACATTTTGTATGTTTAATAGAACAATTCAAATTTATGTCACATCAAACAACCAATTTATTTTCTAGAAAGGGTACAAACGTTCTAAAATGTTTTTTAAACAACAACATTACTTTATTGTATTGTCCCAGAAGGTACAAATATCAATAACATTATGAAAGTTCTCACATTGTGTTTAAAAATCTAAAAGTTGATGGATGTTAGATGGTCTACTAAAACCAAAGCACAGATTACTGAATTATTTTAGCCAAGTTTGATGTTTACATTTGTCCCTAAATATATATATTGTGTTGTAAAATCATTCCAAATCAAATTGTTTGCTGTTCTATTCAATTTATGAACCTCCAGCCAAATAAGTGAATACTAATTTTTTGTAAGTAAAAAACCAAAAAAAACAGTGTAAGCCTTTTTAAAGAATAATATGGATATATATATATATATATATATACAGTTCAAGCAGTTTTTTTTTTTTTTTTTTCATAAATTGATATATTTTTATTTATATCAATATATAAAAATTAGCAACAATGTTCTTCACATTCATTGTTATGAGTAAAAGCAGATGAACTTATGAGTTCAAATAACCATTTTGTTAAATGTTAATTACTAAGTTAATATTCAGTTAATCTTAATATGAAATACAAGTAAAATATTATAATTTTAGTAAGAAAGTTTTATTTTGAATTTGTGTTCCAAATTTACCTGTTAACAATGTGAATAAAAGAATAAGAAAGAGTTGAATTTACACTATAAATTTTTATAAAGAAAATTGATTTTAGATATATGCAACAAAAGTATTGATAGTATATTAGGAGTGTGTTTTACTTCTTAAGATGATTCTTACAAAAAAAAAAGATTCTTTACTTAAAATCAATAGAAAGTGGACCAAGACATATTAAATTATATTTTTGAAATTTTTCGGCTTATTAGAACATAAATATTATAATACTGATGTAAACTAAACAATGCATCTTAACAATCTAGATTTTTACTTTTATTATTATGTTCCATGGGCCGTCTAGCTTCTATTGAAATTTATTGATTTTATTTTACAGTGTGAAGAAAATTGTTAATACTCATATTAACTGATCCAACAAAATGCACAGTCTCAAAGTTGTATTTTATAAGGATAAAATTCAGCTTGTAAGTTTTTTGGGGGTTTGTCAAAATTCATCAACCATCTCAATTAATTGTAGATTATCAAGTTTAAGTCAAGCTTTGAAACATTTAAAATTTAAGATATATTACTTTATGAAATGGCTTTCTGAAAATTACTTTTTGAAAAACTTGTAGTAAATTTAGTGTTGGATTTGGTATTATTGAAAATAGCAATTTCATATCTAATGATTATCTATAATAAAAGTGTTTCAATGACATTCATATAGAAGAATACTAAATCAACCCACATATGTCTGAAATTGACCTACCTTCGTTCTTATCATAATGGACCATGTCATATATTCCTCATCAATCCAAAGAAGATCACCCTTAGATTGTAATAAAATTACTTTCAGTGTTTATTAAATAAGTTTTGAAGCTAACTTTACATCAAAGCATTGGAGTTGTAATATTCTACCCCCAAAATGAGTTGAAATATCCACAAAGCCCTCAACTAATTGCCAACATTTGTGAATGAGGAAAACAATTCCAAAGATGCAAAATTGAGGAATCATATATGAATATATGACATAATACAAGATGATAAGAGCAAAGAGGGGTCAATTTAAGATTTATTTGAGTTAATTCAATATTACCCTTTCTATATATACATATATATAATTGGTGAATTGTTTTTTGCAATAATATATAATATATTAATCGTATTTAAATAACTGATTTTATATACATTTCTTTTTTTAATATAAGTTGGAAAAAAATCTTAATTATTTGTATCTTGTTGAGTAACATAGGTGTATAAATATTGTTATTGCATGTTTATTTTTTCTTTAGGTTTTTTATAAATGATGAAAAAAAACTGAAGATTTTGCAATAATATTTTAGTTTTAGAAAAATTAGATTAACCTCTAAATATTTGTAATTTTTTTTAATTAATTAGCTTATAAAAATCATGATATTTTTGTTGTATATCTTGAAGGAGATAAGGGTTTCTTTATGACATTTATACAATGCAACATGCAATAAATGTTGCTTATCACATGCATACATGTTATTGGGACTTTTTATAATTTGAATGGTAAAATCTTCCTTTAGTATAATTATCCCTTTCTATTATTATGTACATCTCAAAAAGTTATCTTTGACTTATTTTAAAAAATTATAAGCAATACATAATTTTATTCTGAATTTATATATATATATATATATATATATATATTGCATGAAATTTGATGTTAACAACATTATTAGAGGAGCATAAATAAATCTTTATGTAATATGTATATATTTGGATTTCTCAATGCATCCTATATCACCTCAATGCCATTTTAAAATACCACACAATTGTTATGTTTTTGATTTGACTAAATGTAAAACTATGTGACTTTGATGGGAGCATAATGGTCCACCATGACTCAACTTATCACAATTTAATTTAAATTAATTTAATCTTTTTTTCATTTTTTTCATTTTTGATAGGTTACAGCAAAGATCTGCATGAAAATCTAGAATATTTTTGCAAACTTGCAAGTCAAGGTAGTGTTTAAATTTAGTAACTCGTTGTGTAAACTGTGATTTCTACCAAAAAATATAAACTCGTTGGCAATGTGATGAATGTCTTTGGTAACAAATGAATATTTAAAAGTTGGCCATCAGCTTGTAAATATGATTCAATGATATTTGTGAATTGATCAGATCAATGTGTCTCAATAAGCGCATAACTTTACTTACACAATAGCCACAAATAATATAGATTTGTTTTCAAGAACACTCTCAAAACATTATTGTTATGATTTATGATCTCAAAAAACAAGTATGAAACATTTTTTTAAAAGAAGAAGAAGAAGAAGAAGACTTTGGCTCTTTTTTAAAATAATATTTATGACATTTAGTTGCACTAATAATGGTTGATGGTAAGCTCTTATGGTTGCTTGCACTACAACATCATAGTCCTTGCTCATTTTTCCATGTGGTTTCAAACTTGAATATGTGTTTTTGAAAATTTCAATTGAATTATTTCAAAGTTTTCTTTTCTTTTCTTTTCTTTCCCATAACTTAAAACTCTTAAAACTCAAGAAATGCATCTCATTTCAGCAACTGAAATTTTTGCAAATTTGATACTTCTCATCACAGATGATGATATTTTACTTCTCTTCAGAAGTGTAGTAAAACCCATTGTACATTTAATTGTAGCATGAACAATGTTATATCTCCATACTATATTTGCATGGCCTATTGCTCTATGATTCTTGAATGCACAATTCTAGCAGACTGTGAAAGGGTTTAAATACACATAAATTTATTCTACAATTGTCATTACTATAACAGCAGTCTGAAATGAAAAGAAAGAAAGAAAAAGAAGCAGTTGTTAAATAAGAAAGTATGGATTAGAATTATGATTTCAAACATATATTTTTCCTGTAGAAAAACTAAGTTTTCATGTCCATAGCCCTTGTTTTGCTGCACAGTAATTTTATCAAGGAAAAATTCATACACATAACAAGTCAAAGAGTCAATATTTTTGTCGAGCTTGAACATGATGTCAATACTCTTTTTTTGTTTTAA